TGGAGGGGAATATTTTGAGGAATTGTTAAATGTTGATGAAGATAGGGAAGCTGTGATTTCGTGTTTTAGGACAAGGAGGAATAAATCTTGTAGGAGTGAGGAAGAGCCAGTTGTGAGTGTGGGGGAAGTTCTTTGAGGCAGTAGTGTAAAATGAAAGGGGGTAAGGCACCCGGGATTGATGGGATAAAGATAGAAATGTTAAAAGCAGGTGGGGAAATAGTTTTGGAGTGGTTGGTGCAATTATTTAATAATGTATGGAAGAGGGTAAGGTACCTAGGGATTGGCAGAGAGCATGCATAGTTCCTTTGTATAAAGGCAAAGGGGATAAAAGAGGTGCAAAAATTAAAGGGGGATAAGTCTGCTGAGTTATAGGTAGTAGGTTGGTAGACAGCAACGCCCAGGGAGGTACTACCGTCCTGCCAAGTGAGTGTAAAACGAAGCCTGTAATTGTTTTACATGATGTTTGGATTGCTGGTGTCCTTTTTTCTGTCTCATGAACATGCAAGATTTCAGGTACGTCTTGCTACTTCTACTTACACTTAGGTCACACTACACATACATGTACAAGCACATATATACACACCCCTCTGGGTTTTCTTTTATTTTCTTTCTAGTTCTTATTCTTGTTTATTTCCTCTTATCTCCATGGGGAAGTGGAACAGAATTCTTCCTCCGTAAGCCATGCGTGTTGTAAGAGGCAACTAAAATGCCGGGAGCAAGGGGCTAGTAACCTCTTTCTCCTGTATATATTACTAAATGTAAAAGGAGAAACTTTCGTTTTTCCTTTTGGGCCACCCCGCCTCGGTGGGATACGGCCGGTGTGTTGAAAGAAAGAAAGAAGTCTGCTGAGTATACCTGGTAAAGTGTATGGTAGAGTTATTATTGGAAGAATTAAGAGTAAGACGGAGAATAGGATAGCAGATGAACAAGGAGGCTTTAGGAAAGGTAGGGGGTGTGTGGACCAGGTGTTTACAGTGAAACATATAAGTGAACAGTATTTAGATAAGGCTAAAGAGGTCTTTGTGGCATTTAGGTTTTGGAAAAAGGCGTTGCAGGTGGATAGGGGGGAAATGTGGCAGATTTTGCAAGGTATGGTGTAGGGGTAGGTTACGAAAGCAGTGAAGATTTTTTGGGGATAGTGAGGCTCAATTTTAGAGTATGTGGGAAAAGAGGGAAATTTTTTTCCCCAGAAAAAAGTGGGCCTTTTAGACAAGGTGTGGATGTCCCGTGGTTTTTTAAATTTTTTTATAGAGGGGGTTTTGAAAGAGAAGTAAATCGGGGGTTTGGCAAGGGCGGGGAGTTAAAAGATAAGAACCCCCCCCCAAAAAGTGAGAGTTGTCACAGCTCCCTCTTTCGATGACCTGTGCTTTTGGGAGTTTCTGAAGAGAAGTTGCAGAGATTGGGGGGATGAATTTGGTAGGGTGTGCAAAAGAAAAAATTTAAAAGGTAAATACAGGAAAGAGTAAGGTTTTATGATTTGTAAAAAAAAAGTTTTAAGTGATAAAAGATTGAATACAGATTGGAGGGAGGATATGGAGGGGGGAAATGTATTCAAAATTTTTGGGAGTGGAGTGCAGCGGATGGGTCTATAAAAGATGGGGTGAATGTAGAATTGATGGGGGAAAAAAGAGTGAGTGGTGCCTTAGGAGTCTGGGAGACAAAGAACTTTGTCCTTGGGGGAAAAAGAGGGGAAGTATGAGGTATAGTTTTCCCAATGCTCTTATAGGGGTTTTTGAAGCATGGGTGTGAAGGTTTTGCGCGGGAGAAGACTGGGGCGGGAGATGTCTGTCTGAGGGAAATGTGTGGTGTAAAATTATAATGCGAGAATTGTGTTTGGAAGTTAGGAGGAGGTGGGGGGATTACCAAAACTTTTGTCCAGAGGGTGGGAAGGGTTTTTGAGGTGGTTCGGACATGTAGAGAGAATGGAGCGAAACAGAATGCTTTAAGAGGTATCAGTTATAGTGGAAGGGAAGGCGGGGTAGGGGTCGGCCTAGGAAGGTTGGAGAGGGGGATAAGGGGTTTTGTGTGGAGGGGTTGGACTTCCGAGGCTGCGTGAGCAGTTTAAATAGGGTAATGGAGACAAAATGGTTTTTTAATATTGACGTGTGTTGGGTTGAGAAAGAACATTTTGGGGGGGTTTAGGGGAAAGGGCAGGCCGGATTTGAGCCCTGGGATGGGAAGTACAGTGCCTGACCTGAAGGGGGGTTTTTTGTTGCAGTTTAAAAAAACTGTAGTGTAAAGCCCCCCTTCTGGCAAGCAGGATGGAGTGAATGATGGTAAGTTTTTCTTTTCGGGCCCCTGCCTTGGGGGGGAATGGGCCCCGTTGATAATAAAAATTTAAAAAAGGGTTTTAATCATAAAAATTGATGAGGGAAAAAAAGGTGAGTGGTGCGGTAAAGGTATTGTGGAGTCAAAAAAAACTTTTTTTCATGGGGGCAAAAAAGGGGAAATGTATGAAAGTATATTTGTCCCAACATTTTTTATTGGGTGAAGCTTGGGGGGTAAAGCAGCAGCGAGGGAGGTTGGAGGAAGTGGGTGTCCTGTTTAAGGACAATGTTGGTGTAAATATTATGCAGAAATTCGGGTGGGGAAAATTAGGAAAAAGTGTGGTTTTAAAAAGTTTAATCAGAGGGGAAGAGGGGTTGTTGAGGGGGTTTGGTCATTTAGGAAAAAAGGATCAAAGTAGAAGACATGGAAAGCTTAAATTATGGGGAAGGAAGGGGGGTAGGGTCGTCCTCGAAAGGGTTGGAGAGGGGGGGGAAAAAGGGGGTTTTGTGGGCAAGGGGTTTTGGGACTTCCAGCAAGCGTGCTGAGCGTGTTGTGGGAGTGAATGGGGGAATGGATTGGGCCTGACGATTGTTGGAGTTGAGCAGGGAAATTTTTAGTAAAGGGATTCGGGGGGAAAGGGTTTTTTTATATAGCGGACTTGGTCCGGGAAAAAGGGGAAGTACAATGCCTGCATTTTAAAGGGGTTTTGGGTTTTGGCAGTTTGGGGGGATTGTTGTGCTTTATATGGTATGCTTCTAATTGTTGTATTCTGGCACCTCTGCACCTCTGTAATTTAAATATAAGTTAGGTAAACTTGTTGTCGGCTTTATTGATATTTTGTGGGGTCCCGGGTGGAGGAAAACATTACGTTTTTTGCTTACCCATCAGAAAAAATTTATGAATTGCTTTTGGCCCAGCCCCTCCCTCACCCGCTTTTGTTCACAATTTTCGGCATGAATATTCATTAATTTTCCTTCGTTTAGATGGCTCTAAAGGGAGTGTTAGAAATGATTAAATTAGTGACATGGGTTTTCGATGTTAATAATTGGCTTGGCCCCGGTAGGTAGCCCGGGAGGTGTAGCCCAGGCGGGGGGTCACCTACCCGGACTTACACTTACTTCCTACAAATAAAAACTACTCACTCTCTTCCTATATTAAAACTAAAACATATTTTAAAGGGAAATAATGAGTTAGTATGTGTTTTTTACCTCTTGGGAGGGTTTTAAAAACGTATATTAAGTTGAGGGGGAGCCGGGCTACCCACACGGGTCCTGCCCTGACTTCCCAAAATAAATATATCACCCCTCCCCTACATTAAGATTACAAATACTTTTAAAATAAGTAACGAATTTTTCTGTGAATGTACATTCACAGTAAATTCGTTATTTTTTTTGTTTTTAATGCCTAGTTCTATTACTAACTTAATATAATTTAGTGTAAACTTGTTGTCTGGCATTTATATGCATTTATAAATGGAAAAAAATGGCGTTCTGCCTTCCGGCGATGTCTGCTTTTCGCGACAGCCTGGAACCCAAAACCCCCCTTTTAAAATGGGGGGCCCCACTGTAGTTAAAAAATTCAAGAGGGGGGGCTTAGCATGGGTGATCGAATATGAGTGCATTTAGAGCCCATGCAGCAAATGTGAATGGGTTCAGATATTTGAGAGTGGACGTGTCAGCAGATGGGTCTATGAAGGATGAGGTGAATCATAGAACTGACGAGGGAAAAAAGCGAGTGGTGCACTGAGGAGTCTGTGGAGACAAAAAACTTTATCCATGAAAGCAAAGAGGGGAATGTATGAAAGTATAGTAATACCAACGCTCTTGTATGGGTGTGAGGCATGGGTTGTGAATGTTGCAACAAGGAGAAGGCTGGAGGCAGTGATGTCATGTCATGTCTGAGGGCAATGCATGGTGTGAATATAATGCAGAGAATCCATAGTTTGGAGATTAGGAGGAGGTGTGGGATTACCAAAACTATAATCCAGAGGGTTGAGGAGGAGTTGAGATGGTTTGGACATGTAGAGAGGATGGAACAAAATAGAATGACTTCGAGAGTATACAAATCTGTAGTGGGGAGAAGGTAGAGTAGGGGTCTGCATAGAAAAGGTTGGAGGGACGGGGTAAAGGAGGTTTTTTGTGTGAGGGACTTGGACTTCCAGCAAGCGTGCGTAAGCGTGTTAGACAGAAGCGAATGGAGACAAATGGTTTTTAGGACTTGACGTGCTGTTGGAGTGTAAGCAAGGTAACATTTATGAAGTGATTCAGGGAAACCGGCAGACCGGACTCAAGTCCTGGAGATGGGAAGTGCAGTGTCTGCCCTCTGAAGGAGGGGTGTTAATGTTGCAGTTAAATAACTGTAGTGTAGGCATGCCTCTGGCAAGACAGTGATGAAGTGAATGATGATAAAAGTTTTTCTTTTTTGGGCCACCCTGCCTTGGTGGGAAATGGCCGATGTTTGTAAAAAAAAAATAACAGCAAATTACTAATAGAAATGGGGTTACTGCATAAAAGCAAATTCCCACAAAATAAAAAGTGAGGGCTAACTTATACAGTTCATACCCCAATTATTTGTTACATATTCAGCAAAATGAGGATACATGTATCTCCATATTTAACTAGATGCTATACCACATGACAACTCCAAATAAAAGAACCGATTCTCTCTCATTGCACAGTTCTTATATGTAGAGGATTTTAGAACTGCAGAGGGCACACAAAAACACTCACCCGAAACAAATCTCTGAAGTACGGACTGCATGCTGATAGGAGTACTCTGTGTGCTTTTAATGATTTTCCTTCTGCTGTGAGTGTCACGTCTACAAATTCTTCTCTGTCCAGAAGAGCTTCAAATGATGATACAATATTAGCCTGGAAGTTGTTCCACCGTAGGCAGAACTGCTGTTCAGCCATAATCCTTCCGTCCCACGGCTCCCGCGCACCTGGACCACCAAGCCCTGTCAAAGAAATACAGCTTAATTATAGTTTCCAAATTCAGTAACATGAAAAAACTACTGGACCCAGTATCACTGCTCATCATACATCACCTGGTTGAAGAGGTCATGTAAAATATGGTGCAATGATACTGGGTTCAACACTTATAATAATGGTTTTCTATAATAATAAAATTACCTAGATAATTTTTCAGTTTTAAAAATTAAAAACACACAAAAAAAAAGTATGCAGACAAATCTAGTATAGAAAACAGGCTAATTTTTCCACTTCATGAGAGGAATTATACAGGTCTTAAACTGACCCACAAGCATCAATATGACCATATATCAACAATCAAGAGTAATGGAATGCATCTGCTAAACACATTTTGAACATCCCACCATGTTTTTGACTCCTCCTACCCTAGGCTATCTACTATGTCTAAAGATATATAGTACTACCAGAGTACCTAAGCAGACATCTAGTTTTTATATACCATAAAGTTCTCCATGGGGAAGTGGAACAGAATTCTTCCTCCATGAGGCATGCATGTCGTAAGAGGCGACTAAAATGCCAGGTGTAAGGGGCTAGTAACCCCTTCTCCTGTATACATTACTAGAGTTTAAAAGAGAAACTTTTGTTTTTCTTTTTGGGCCACCCTGCCTCGGTGGGATACAGCAGGTTTGTTGAAAGAAAAAGCATAAAGTACCATAACATACTGAAAGAACATCCACATAATTAATATAAAGTATTGCACTGTATGTATATACACTTGCAGCAAACCATCTTAAAAAGACTTCACGCTGCACTTTTTTTTATAACATAATTTTCAAATGCAACCAAAAAGAAATATTATGAGGGAAATTTTTTATACAACTTGATATTTAAAATCAGTTAACGTGTAATACGTGTATATTGGTACTAGAAACTGGAGGTTTTCACAGCAGCTAAATCTGTGCACTACACACCATAAAATTTCCCACTTTCCCCTCCACCCAAAGTTGAGCCTATGGGTCAAGTGTTTGTGGAGCAAACACATGACACATAGCAAACACTTAACCCATAGGAGTGTATGAGAGGGATAGCTCCAAGGAGAATGAGAGTGAGACCGCATATTCCCCTCCACGTACAAGAGGTCCCTCAGTGATGCTGGTGGTATAGATGATGCATGGAACCCACGCCACCCAAACCACTTCCAGTTGCTAAAACATCTTGTACCACATTCACCCCATGTTTATCAAATGACTGTGGACATTTTTATTCACTTTTCTTCTTAGCACCTCCAACCATGAGGTGGGAGGTGCTAAGGATCACTCAATCCTACAAGAACCAAGCACCCAGCCAAGCTAGTGTTACTCTTGATGAGATTGGAGGTGCCAAGAAGAATAAGAATGGATTTATGGCGATACTGAAAGATGATGCTTTAGACATGCCATAATGGAAGCTGTCCGTAGTGATGGTGAACAAACTGAACTATTCATAGAATTAGACACAATGAGGGAAAAGTAAGAGCTTGTGCATAAGTACCAGAGATTGTGATCTAAGGAAAAAAAAAATCCAAGATCAATGCAGCTTAAGACAAAAAGTTACCGAATGTGTGAACTGAAGGGAAAAAATAATAGGGGTTCTTCTTAGCACTCAAATATTAAGGCACAAAGCCTCTGGTTGATTAGGCCATGATCCACTGGGAGGCCTGGTCGTGGACCGGGACGCGGGGGCATTGATCCCCAGAATACCCTCCAGGTAGACTCCAGGTATCCAAGAAGAGAGGGTTGACTTGCATGAAAAAAAGATGTGGAAAATACTGCTCTCCCATACACTGAGCTCTAATAAGTTACCAAAACAAATTACACTGAATAAACCTAACGAGCCTTCCAAGCCAATCATTAAATGGCAAACAAGCTAAACAATTTCTTATTAACTATAGGATCAAACCTAGCCAATAAAATCAAACTCCCAAGCCCAAGTTGGAGATTGTCTTAAAGATGATTACCAACTTGTTCTTGTTGGAGTACCAGAGGGTAGTGTCCTTGGTTCACTTCTCTTTCTCATTTACATCCATGACCTCCCAAATGCATCAAAGCTCCTTAAACCCATTTTATTTGCAGATGACACTACTTATGTCTTCTCTCACCCAAATCCAACCATACTAACAGACACTGGTACAGCTAAATACGTATATTGATAAATGTTTCACCCATTTCAAGACAATTAGGGCAAATTTCTAGGTCTCCACCTTGACTGCAGACTCAAATTCCAAACCCACATACAGCAAATTTCCAGGAAAGTCTCCAAAACAGTAGGCATCCTATCAAAAATATGGTACTATTTACCCAAAAGGCTCTTCTTGCTCTTTACCACTCTCTCATTTACCCTTACATCACCTATGGTATTTGTGTATGGGGCCCAACCACAGCAGATCACCTTAAACCTTTGATAACCCAAGAAAAAGCTGCAGTGCAATTGATTACTAACTCCTGCGCTAGAGAGCATACTCTACTGCTTTTCAAGTTTTAACTTGCTTAATATACACAACATCTACACTTATTATTGTGCCTACTACATACACAGAACACTATACTCAAATATACACCCTCCTCTCAAACTCCTTGATAATTATAACAGAACACAGCCATAATACAAGACAAATCACTCTTCGATATCCCACGTGTCCATCTCTCCCTATGCAAAAATGCCATGCATGTAAAGGGCCCGAAGATCTGGAATTCGTTGCCACAACACACTAAAGGACCCCTGCCTGCAAATCAATTAAAGGCCCTAAGAAGTCACCTCATTATCCAAAATTAGCCAGACAAACACTTTACTTAATACCTACCAGTTACTCAAAAGCTACTCAAAAAGCTTCTAAATAATTTAAAACTGCTCAACTATTTGATAATTTACTTCAACCTAAAATCGTTTCAATTTCATTATTGTATATTGCTGATGATTGCTCGTCCATTTACTCATTACTTCAAACTTATAAGTGTTGCAATCTCATTGTTTTAAAATGTACTAAATTGTACTTCATACTGTAAACTGTTTTAATTTGTTCTAAATTGTAATACTATACTTTTTATAAACTACATCAAAACTGTAATTATTCTATATTGAACTGCTCTACTAGACTTATTAACCCCTTGACTGTCACAACCCCAAATCCTGAGGTGTTTCCTGGTGTCGCAAAATTTAAAAAAAAAAAATTTTCTTATGAAATGATAGAGAACCTTTTCCCGATTGTAATGACACCAAAAGAATGAAATATGATGGAAAACTGATGGAATTGCACTCTCGCGAAGTTAGCGACCTCGGCGGTATTTACGAATCGGCAATTTCGCCCACTTTGAGCCCTATTTTTGGCTAATTCAATTGTTCCAGTCAACCAAACTCATAGCTATTTCTTTAGAACTCCATGTTTTCTATCGATTGAGTACAAGAAACTGCCCATTTACCAATTTCAACTACCCAATAACATGGTCAGAAATTTGCAATTTGGCCAATTTCATGAAAATTAAAAAAATATGACAATTTCAAAATAGGGTCCAGAATAAACACTGCAGACATTCCTGGCTCTAAAATAACATTTTCTTTGTTCATCAGTCACATCTCCAGGCCCCTCTGATATTACTCTTGCTTTCTATTTTGAATTTTTATTCAAACAAAAATTAGAAGATTTACTGTTATGCAGACTACTGCAATATTGTAATAATTGTATAAATAATGTCAACCCATTCATGACTGCATATTAGAATGGCTACTTGGCCATTTATTGGAAAATGACATCATTTGTTTACTTTTGAACATTGGCAAAAATCAAACATTTCCCCTATTTTGAGCTCCATTTCAAGGTTCTTTTTCATAGTAAAACCAATCAAAATCATCTCTATTTCTATGTTTTCCATTCTATCAAATGAGACCAAGAAAACGAGAATACAACCACAAATATTATATGAAAATAGACTACAAAGTCAGTACAATGTATTTTAATTAAAAAAAAAAAAAGGAGCTTTTTTCTCATTATGCACTGCGTGCTACAGGATTTTTTTATGTAAAGTAAAAGGACACAAGTGCAACTAATGTGACATTTTATTGTGGCAACGTTTCGCTCTCCAGGAGCTTTGTCAAGCCGACTTGACAAAGCTCCTGGAGAGCGAAACGTTGCCACAATAAAATGTCACATTAGTTGCACTTGTGTCCTTTTACTTTACATACTGTCGGTAATTCTACCAACATTATTACAGGATTTTTTTATATGGCGCACACTGACCACACAGACCCATTCTCTCGCATGTGGGCCTACCAGCTTTCTCCTGCTTGATTTGAAGCCGCTAGAATTTATGAGTATACACGTATATACGTCAAACACGGTGGCTCGTAAGATTTATATATACGGCCGAAACAGTCAAAGGGTTAAAGCCATACAGCATTACCTAATAGAATATTCAATTCTCTTGTACTCATTGTAACTCGTCTAATGACCATATGAACTGTTATTGCCTTATTAATTTTAAGTTAATTTTAAGTTTGCCCGAAATGCTCTGCATACAAAGGGGCTTTTGGTATGAACACCCAACTACTATATTCCTTTGTACAACCATGTATCAAGGAAAATAAAAATTATTATTATCATTAATTATTATTATTATTCTCCGTAAAGCCCATATCGCCATAAAGCAGAAAGCCATTTTTTCAACTTATAAATGAATTTAAATGCCAAATAACAAGTTTACACTAACATACATTAAGTTAGCAATAGAACCAGGCATTAAAATCAATAAAAAGTAAAATACACACACAGTACACTCGTTACTTACATTAAAATATTTGTAGTCTTAATGTAGGGCGAGAGGTACGTATTTATTGTAGAAAGTCAGGTGTAGTAGCTTGCCAGCTACCATACCTACACCAAATATACAACCTAAATTTAAAGCATCCCAGAGCAATTATATTATTACTATTATAACCATCAAGTTTGTGAAGCATTTACCCCACAATACAAACACACCTACGTTGTACAGAAGTT